TTTCAGCTGTAATAAATATCATTGTGTTGGTTAAGTGATGAGGAAAAGTTTGAAGGGTAATTCGCTTGGGAACCTGAAACTTTGGATTTTTTTTTTCAGTAGGTATTATTAGGTTTCTTTACGAAGAGTAAAGTAAAGTTGGTACTTATAATTAGTAACATAATCTGTGTGTATAAATATTGACATCTCTCTTAATAAGAATATACAAGAAATGTATGTATATTATATAATACAATACGACTTATTTGGTTTAACCTACTTACTAAAAGAGATTGAAAAACGTTGAACACGATGAATATCTACTGAGTACCTTGTGTCGGATTAAATGACGCCGAATATCTATTGTAGCCAACCTGCACTCACAATTTCTAATAATAAGTTTGAAATCGCCAAACCGTTTTGAGGATTTTAATGCTCAAACCTTCTCCGTGTGAGGAGAGATCTTTACAGACTGTTGTAGTACTTATAGACTATTAATGTGACCTTCTGATGATCAAATAGGACCCTCCATATTGGAATTGACACAATTAAAGTAAAGGACGCAATTAATACGATAGGTAATCAATCGTGCAATTGTTAAGTAAATACGACATCGGTTGTAGTGTATGTATGTGTTGCGAAATACCAGGTTTCCGAGAGGTTTGTGTTTTATTTATTACAGAAATATAGGATGGATTGTATGTGTTATTAACAGGGCTATTACTATAATAGTATTATACTAAAACTTATCTACAAATAGTGAAAAATTCTCGTAAAGCTTTGTCTACATTTTATAAAACATAAATACATCTGAGACCTAAGTGAAAGGTTCAATCCTCGTAATTCTCAAGAAAACCACGCTAGGCTCGGTCTAACTAGATTCAGGCCAATATAAATATTTCTTCTAGAATAGCCTTCTGACCTTAAACCGTAACTCACAAGTACTGAGACCATAATACTCAAGGTTAGAACAATTCCAAACTTTGATTGACTTGAAACTGTTTGTGCACATTGTTTGATACACTTAACATTTATTATTCAGATAAATAATAACGTGACATAAGGTTGTTTGTAGATCACACAAAGAGTTGTTCCGTGCAGGAATTGAACGTGCTACACGTTGCAGCGTTACCCGTGCACACGTCCAACCAAGCAGTCAAACAATAATTATACATATAGTGCATGACGGTTGTCTAATACTCTGAATGCACCAATTCATTAAGCGTATATAAGACTACATTATATACATTATGTACGATTGTACCTAATCATGTATAGCCAATGGTCGGCCAATGTGACAGCACTAAGAGCTGTCGCAACCACAAATTACGCTAAGATGCAACAATGTACCTGACTGACAGGTTAACGTGCTCTCCAAGGTATGTTGAAGATTCTGAGAGTCATTACTCAATTGATTTCTGACTGCAAACGTGATTTGGCAGTGATTTCCATTTCTAAAGTCACAGTAACTTAATTTCTTTATAATAACTATCGTGAGACATACTAAATTAACTAAAAATCGCGTATAACTCACGTAAATATATTGTGAAAAGCTCTACTGGTTTCGAGTAATAGAGGGGCTCTTCCTCATAAGCAGAGTGCGCGGTCGCGTAACCCGCGATTTTTAGTTAATTTAGTAACTTTAATTTTTAAGGCATCTCACAAACACACCGACAACACCAAGACACTTTTCTTCAGCAAGGCATAATCTTATTAAAGTCTCATATCAAATGACAGAAATGGATGCGACTTTTAATTTGAGTTTCTGCATATCCCGTAATAATAGAGTTTCTCGAGATACTTACAACCGTGAAACAACCTTTATTTATACGTTTTTTATTGAATGGCTGTCCTTAAAATAATAAATGGCTACAGTTGACACCAAGCCCACCGGCTACGGGGAAAGTACGGAAATAATTAAATTTTCCAAGCAATTTCGGTAACAACCCTATAAGTGTTTTTGGGACGAATAAGAGCAATCCCTTGAAAATTTACGCGAACCGTCGTTCACAGTTTCAATAGCGGCTTGAGGATAATTGTTTCGAGACATGGTAACTACCACAATGGATATAAAAGTTTGGTAAACAAGACTTCTAAATATACGCTAGAAGTATTATTATTTCATTCAACTCTTTGTTGTACTTATACAAACAAAACTTCTTACTATTTATGTACAAATAAACATAATATTGATGAAGTTATTTACAATACTGTCTTTACAATAGAATTAATACTTACAGTCAATTAATTGAACTTGGTATACGTACCTAACAAGATAAAACAAGAATATAAATCACATTTTATATCAAACAGAGGCGAAAAATAAGGTCTATATTACCAGCATCTTTCCACACCACACTTTTTGCTACAAAGTACATATTTTGGTCGGGTTTTGGAACAACGATTTATGTTTTTATTTAATCATGGTGGCTTAATATGTAAAACTGCCAAACTATGTGTAGATATCGACATAACCAGTTATTTGTAAAAGATAATCACCATGTCGAGTAATGAATATCAGCCAAGCATGTACCACACGTTTTGGGACAGTTAATCTTGATCACATACCTACATAGTTTTAAAATAGTTCATTTATAGAATGGAGTTGGTTACAGAAGTATTCACATGTTATAACGTGAGAATTTTAATTGTTACGAATGAAATCGAAGGTAAAATACTCTCGCAGAAATGAACTAATCGGAAAACCATATTGTGCTATAGGAACGCTGATCTTTGACAAAAACTAAAGTTCAATAAACTTACGCGGTGTACAGTTAAGCACTGCACAACCATTTTCCATCAACACCAAATCTGTATTATTACGCACATATGGAATAGAATTCCAAAAAAGACTGCACGGTTGGTGCGGTGGCTGGGCAACCGGCTGCCGTGTAACGTGTCGCGGATTCGATTCCCACACCGAACAACACTTTGTGTGATCCACAAATTGTTGTTTCGGGTCTGGGTGTCATGTGTATGTGAACTTGTATGTTTGTAAACGCACCCACGACACAGGAGAAATACCTAGTGAGGGGCAACATTTAAAAAAAATCAACGTCAGTAATGTGAGTAAAAATATTGGTTGGTCGTCCCCAAACAATTATTGACCTCATGCCCAAGTCGCAATAAACCACGCAATCAAATGATCGAGCATTTTAAACACATTCCCTTGGGATTCATTAACAACACGCCGCTCTTATCACTCTATAAGATAAATGTGCGAAACTGTTAATTAAAGCAATTTGAATTCGAAATATTTATTTTGCGTTTAATTTCTGTAATTTCTGCTAATGTCTCCAAGTGATCATTTCGCCATTTGAAAGGTTAGACCCATCCCTTTACGTTTAAAAATACGTTAACGCCTGTTGTGCACACGCTTCATAGATTTTACACTTACTGAGCATAACCATAAAATAATGGATAAATATATCGTGCTCGTGTTTCCATATTCCAGTAAGGGCTGAGCATTTGCTTTTTTCTTTTTTTAATCAAACGTTCATTATTTTATCTCTGAATTTCCTATTGTATCTATCCCCTTTTGTCAGCAATAGTACAATTAAATAACTTCGCGTTTATTGTTCCTTGTATCATTGTCCCTTAATTTAAAAACATCGTTATTTTTGTTCGATGTAAATAATAGCTCACATTTTGAAAGCTGGATGAATGAATATCGAACTCTTTTGTAATGTAAAATTATGATTGACAATAATAATCAGTAATATCGGGCTATATTTTGTAAGGCATTTAATTTGTGAACGTTTTTTTATCGTGATTTGAGATGTAAGTAGAAATTCGTAGAATTTAATGTTTCATTACAACCTTTCATTACAGATAATATTATTCCCAAGATTTATTTCAGTTTTTGCTCAAGAGGGCACTAGGTAATATCAGCTAAAGAGGCTACTACTCAAGTTTTGAGTAAAAGCTAATCTTATTATGTAGATAAATCTTATTACTCCTGTCTAAATGTCTGATGTCTTATTTTGATATCTGTAGGCGTTCATATAATTTTGTAAGCATATGTGTTGAATGCAGTAGGTATCTAGGTGGTGTAAAACCTCATTCTTCATGGATTTAATAAAAAATATCAAATGTTACTCAAGTTAGAGTGTCGTTATACATTTTGTTTATAAAAGATGGAGAAAAATGAACTCCTCGCGGAAGTAATGGTTCATTAAACTTTATGGTCGCTTCTAATTGCAAAAAACCTAATAACGTTCTGGAATGAAGTAAATGCTATGAAAGAAATGAAGAGCAATGACGAAAGTATGTAATTTAGAGGTAGAAAGCATTCTTCTTCACGATTTTTGTAAAAGAAAAATAAATCCTAAAACAACATGCTTTGTTTAGACGCCATTTGAGATCTGAATTTTATAAATTAAATTGCTGAGATGATAAAAAAAGAAATATTAAATAAATTGTAAGGAACTTTTTAGCCTATAATAATTTTCCAGACATTGTAAAAATTCTTAGTTTAGTGAAATCACAATATTGCAAAGCAATTAGAACGTTTGTATTTTACAAATATTTTAATTTATTGTATGATATATAAAAACGTATAATATTGAAGAAGTCATGTTGGAATCGTATTAAATATTTAATGATTTTTGCAAAGAGAAAGACAGAATACACCTATTTTCTGTAGAATATCTGTCTAATCTAATTATTATGGAATTTTAAATGTGGCTCGTTCCGAATTTTGTAGACTTGGCGGTAGCAGAGATAACTTAATTATAATAGCCATTACACAGCCGGAAGCTTTTCGTCTTGAAGTTATCATGCCTCAACATTACAGCGGGTTTCAAATTAAAAAATAATTTATGAAGTACCCAGATCCTGAGTGCTGGAGAGAGTATGACATTAATAAAGCAAGTATTTTTATTTTATTTATTCATTAAAACGTTACTGAAAAATGTATCCAAACTGCGATATGTTTGTAATCTGTAGAAATTATAATATTTCACTCAGCCTTTTGCCTATTAAATAAGGATACAAATATTAAACAATAAACAATCCCATACCATTAAAGCCAAGAACAAATCCAGGAAACTCCATGATAAAAAAGCACTTAGAAAAAAAATAATATCGTATTGAAAGAACACGGTACGGAACCACAATCCGATCACTTCACATTTTCGATCGAGCGCCATCAAACGCAACGGTGCCGTTTGTGTCCATTGTAGTTGACGTCGAAGTTAGATCGCGGTGCGGGCGGGGTGCCGTCGTCGGCCGTGGTGTGCTCGGGGCGCCGTCCGGGAGAGTACTGCTCGTCTGCTCGACCCGACCACCCGAGTACCCGGGGCCTAGCCGCGCCCGCCCTCGCAACGCAAGCTTTCCGATGCTCCCGTGTTTTCACTCTTGTAACTTCAACATTAAAAGGCACCCTGACACGTATTGAAAGGAATGCTCCTCGTTATCATTAAGCGCTTTAAACATAAATGCATTTATGTATTTATATTATAACACATTAGTACCTACTTAGTTTTCTATTGACAGACTTATAATGCCATTGCCGTCTAACTGAGGGGGATAGACAGAGAATTATTATTAGAACGATATCAAGTAAGGAAAAGATTTAATACACGCGTGTTATACTCATATCATAACTTCGCCCTTTTTCTTCCCTTTAGAGGCACATATTAAATATAGCACCTACTTTTCACTGCCAATGTTTTTATAGAAACATTTATTTTAATCTAAGATGTTGAAAAAAGTAATTATTGTTCTTCATATGTGTCACGCCATGTCAACAAAAAGCTCGTTTTCTTATCTAGTTTCAAAGTTACATAATTTATTACAGATCTACACAATGTCATTTGTATTAATTAGAGTCGTTGAATGGATCATGTAGGTATAAGTACTAGATATTTTGATCAATCAATACTAGACTAGATTGCTGTAACTTACGTGCGTTTATAAAATAAATTGAGTTATTTTTCTTTTAAATAAAATTTTACAATTTCACATGTCTATAGATTTATGTGGCTTAATTTCACATTGTAGGTGCGCTATACCGCTACGAGTAAAATGGCTATTATTGATTTGAAGGTGAACAGGATTCACCAGGCCAGGCAGTTACCCCACAAACCTTCCTTTGATTACCTCTTTTGTAAATTCCAGCGCATCATGCCCATTAACTTCAGCGAATTTTATTATCTTAAATAATATCAAGAAACAAGTGAATATGATAAACTGACAATTCTTTTCCCCTGAAATAAAAGGTGAAAAGACATCAAAAGGCCGACTGAGTGGGTAGACAATGAATACAGAAATAACGTAAAACAAATACAAATAAAACACATTATAAGCATTAATTTAAGTGACTTTTGCAATGATATCAATTTAATTTTGAAACAAAGAATATATTTTAACAATTAATAAAATTTGGTAGATCTAACGAAGTGTTTTCATGTAATTTGTAACTTTCATCGATTTCAATTTATAGTTGAATAGGTTTTGGTCTATCTTAATTATCTACGTAAATATTTTATGATCTTTTAGGTCTATGATCCAGAATAATGATCGGTAGGAATAAAATTCAGAAAGATTAACTCAAGTCTGTATATTATACGTAAATAATATTTGTATTGCACATAGGACCCACTTAGTTTTTAGTCTTTCCGTGGTGCTTGGTGACTGGGTTTCTCTCAGTTGTACAGTCTCTTTTTGTGCCTTTAGGCTTAATTCATTCTGTCTCCTTTAGTAATTCACCGAGGGAAGTGGCAATTATCGTTTTTTTTTTCTCCTTTTATAATATCTTCTGATGAACCAAGACCGTTATTCATGTCCCTGGGACGCGGCGGACTTCACTGTTCCGGTGTTTTCATGGTTGTATCTACTGTAGATCCTGGCTTACAGGAGTTGCAGCGGTTTTAAGAGGTTATGGTGGGCTTGTCCCAATTAATATAAATAATACTTGTGTGTAAAATGCTTAATAGTGTACGTAAGGATTTTTCAAAATTTCCCTATTTAGGACAACGTGCTAGCATAGAAAAATGTTTAAAAATCTAAACATAAAAGCGGTTATGCGAATGTTTATCTTGTTATGCACACTTACCAAATAACGCTTTGCACGAAGCTACGTGATAATAACTGTGGATATATATTGTATGTATACTATACGTATATATAATGAACTTTTGTTACAAGAAGTTATACCTATTTTGTTTGTACAAGAACAATGACATTAGTTGCAAACTACCAAGTATAACTAGTAGCTTTTGCGTTCTCTTTTGTGAATACGTGGTATGAGAAAATAGATATATAATTCTATACATAGGTTTGTGTTAAAGTTTATTGCACTCACATACCTGTTTATATAAGCTTTAATTCTATAAACGAATTCTTTCATTCATTAAAAAGCATATATGTTTTATGGCACGTATTAAAATACTGCCCTAAATACATTGGTATATGTCAAAGTCAAAGCATTTATTTCAATTAAACCATATTTTGGTACTTTTGAAACGTCAACAAATACAAAATAAATAATAGTCTGTCAGTCAGGCCGTCAGTGAAATTAGGTGAAGCTAGGTGCTCATTCCAAAACGTAGATTCGAATGGATGGACTATCCAACATAAAAATATTTTTTCTAATCGGACCAGTAGTTCCTGAGATTAGCGCGTCCAAACTAACAAACAAAATATTCAGCTTTATAATCTGTATAATAGTATAAGTATAAGATTATATTATCCGCTAGCTTTGCCCGCGACTTCGTCCACGTGGAATAGTGATTTACAGCTCCTCCCCGTAGATGATAACGGGATAACATGTAGCCTGTATGTTGAATCGACATGCATGCAAAATTTAAAGTAAATCCATATAGTACTTTTTGAGTTTAACCCGGGCATACATACAGACAAACTGACAAAAGTTCTAATAACCATATTTTTGGCTTCGATATCGATTGCAGATCACGCCTCAACCATTCTTTTAAAACTTTTATTATATGTATGTATAGATTTATTTTATTTTGAGCCATGATCGACCCCACTGCAGGACGAAAACCTTGGATACCCTTCTTTCACTCATCTCCATGCAAGGCTTTCTGCGGTCAATCCTTCTCATCACTTTATACCATACCAAGACCATATTTCAGCTAAGCAGTATTCCTCTTAAACTACTTTGTTCTTACACCTGAAACAAATAGAGATACCTAATCTAGTCGTAAATGGGGAGGAGTATTCCATTAGTCCACGTTGCCTGAACAATAGGCTATTGTGTGAGGTCTAACATAGCCATCATAGGCATTAGATCGCAGTGTGAATTGTTTTGTAATACATCTGCAGTTACTGATGCCATTCATTGTTTACATAGAAGCTTGATTCATCATTAGTGTTTCTAATTATCCATGTATGTACTATTAATGAACAAATGTTGAACTTATATCGCGATGTCGGGCAGCCCACTGACATCGCCGCCCACGCTGCTCATGAGGAAGAACCACTCTGTGGTTCGAAACTAGTAGAGCTTTTCTCAGTATTTTCACTTGAGTAACCCGAAATTTTTTCGTTATTAAGAATTTTCGGATATTTTGCTACTACTACTAGTAGTAGTCTTATTGTATTAAGCAAATGTTGTTATAGAAAATTAAAAAACATGAAAAAATTAAGAATAATGGCTAATTACTCCCAATAGGAGTAAACCCAAAATATCAAATGCTAAATTATTGCAATTTCAGTTAAATATTCAAAAAGCTTCTTTGTTTTACAAAATACTTCTTCTGTTGGTAAATAATTATGTTGTTCAAGAAAATAATTTGAATCGTGTGATTGGCTTTGAAAGCTGAAGCTACGATTCAATTTCGATAATATGGTGAAACAAAGGGTTCATTTATCCCTAACATCAAAGCAGGTTTTGAAGGGTATTGATAACTAACGATAACTCACTCATACGAACCTGCCACGTGCACTCAAGCAATATATTTTGTCTCATATTGTATATACATATAACATAACATACATGTATGTTATGTTACTTACTAGGTAGCCATACAGCCAATACTCAGCCAAATAGTGTTTCTAATAACATTAATATCTGATGAGAACCAGGAATACTATAAAAGTCTCTGCCTATCTCTTTATTAAATAACAGACTTATAATCTAATATTTGTTCTATATTTTATCTATTTACGAAAACAAGCTAAGTATTATTTATATTGTTTAACACGGAAATTATCAGTTGTATTATTATTGCTAGAAAGGAGCCAAACCTTTCGACCCTTCGTTTACATAAAGCGGATAATTTTAGCTTCGAACTGTAAGTTCTAAGAACTTGATGTTTTGCTTTTATGGAATCGTTCCAAGACCAAAAATGTGGTAAATAAATTGACAATACCCTATTCAATGTTACAAATTAAATAGAAAATCAGATAGCATAAACAAAGTAATGATAAATGCTAATATTACGTCTGAAAAACAATTATTTTAACCTCAAAAAACTTAGTAAAAATGCCGCTAACTTAGAACAAAGAGAACATTTCAACATAATTAAGTGCTTAGGCGAAGTAAAAACTTTATTTAACAAAACTTGAGAGGCAGAAGATAATCTGAGTGGAACTAATTGATATTGATTTTGTGAAAAACATTTTAAATTGAAAACGTTAATCAGGTAGTTGGAAGCGCTCCAGAGTTGGAGTCTTCGCTCTACAACCAGACATTTACTGATTGTGAAACAATGAGGGACAGAAAAATGTGTTCGGAAGGCAAAGTTGGGAATGTGCATATTACTCAGCGTCCAGGAACTAAAGTTTATGCATTGTAGGTACGAGCTTCCCTACAATTTGTGAACCAGTTTTACTAAACATTTTCATTTATCTACATTGCTGTTTGTTACTACCTACCTACAGTTGTTCAGATACACAATATTTCTTTCTATTTCGTCGTCTAATGTGATTACATAAGAAACAGTGAAAGCTTTTACAAAGATCGAATTTGAACGAAGTGTTTTTGTTTTACTATATTGGGTGGTTAATGTGGAATCGTGAGTACACTCTGCAAAATAAATACACTTTGAAGTAGACTCTAATCTTATTTATAAAATTCTTTATGTAGTTTTTGGGTTTGTACAAGGCTAGAATGAATACTGTTGTAAACGTTGTAAAGTAAGTAATATGGAGGACGGAAAAATATGATACAAACATACACAAAATTGAGCTACACGGTATCCGTCAGTTCCGAGGTAAAAGAATAATGGCTACGGGAGTCATTATTCTTTTACACTACTAGTGGCGTTTTGT